CCAGAGAGCTGTTTAAGGGGGCCGGATAGCTGGACGCAGTTAAGCCCCTCTCTCCCTCCCTTTCTCTCCCAGAGTCTCTTACACTCCCTTTCCCTCTCCCGCAGAGCCGCACTGCGCAATGCCTAACGGTCGGGCCTATACACGTACCCCCCCCTCACTGTGTCCTCTCTCTATCAACCCTCCCTTTCCACTTCCTCCCTCTCTCTCGCTCTTAACACCCCAAAGCATCTTCCATCATCCAATTTTTTTCCCCCGCCATAATGTCGCCCTCGCTGGCATTGGAGTTATGTCCGCTGCTATCATATTACTTTGATGTTTATGATGATTATTTGCACGAGAGCGCAAATGTTGCAGCGTCATGCGGTGTCTTGATTTGCTTTGATTTTTATGGGGGTCGTTTATCGTGAAGCAATTGGATGTATGGAGTGCGGTGCGGGTCGGCCGCTCAGCGTATCAAAGATTTTATTTTTACTCTCCGATTGATTGGTTGATTTCGTTTCGTCGAATCCTTTAGCGATCACCCCACTAGGGGCACGATCGGTGGTTAGTCACGTCAAAGTCAAATCACTATAAGGATGAGAGGCATTTTTGTTCATTTTCTGAATTTTTGAAATTCCTATGGTACACATACCGGGGGAGACAGTTGTAGGTTTTACCATAGAGTAGTTCTACTCCATGGTTTTACGGGAAAGTTTTTCAGGAAGAGTGTTATTAAAGTTATAAAAATATCAATTGTAAGCACTACGTATCTACCTTGGTTATACTGACTGACGTGCAAAAACGGGCTGTCGCGAACAATACCACATATTTTGTAAATGATATAAATAACAGAATAAACTGTAAGGCTAGGAAGATATTTTTTTCACAGAGCAAGTACAACGTTCTCTGCACGATTGTTTAAGTACGACCCACTCAGAGTATAACCATAAGCTGCGCGTTACACTCAACATGCGTGAGGTGGAAAATGAGTTTACAACTTTGCAAGCGCGCGCGAGAGACACAGGGAGAAAGAGAGAAAGAGTGAGAGAGAGAGAGAGGGG